ACAACTTCATCAACCCCCGAAGAACTCCACCTCTGCTCCTCTTCTGAATGGCTGAATCCCCCCCCCCCCCCGTTAAACACTCCCTCAACTCGGACACAACAACATGGCTGACCTCACCGCTACATGCCGACCCCATTCCCTGGAGACAAATTCACACACAAAAATAGAAAAAAAACAACAACTTAGGACTGGCCAATGAGTGACTTTGTTCTATGCCGTATAGCCTCTTCTTTGCCAAAACTCTAAACGAAATCAGTGCGACTACTTTTAGACACCAAGACGCCATTTTTAGTTTGTGTATAGAGCTACTTTCCATATAATATGTAAGAAAAAAATACCGTGTGCAATGCAAAAAAAGAGTTGTATATCTATATTGTTAGGTTTCTGTACATTTGACAGTATAGCATAAACTTGTTGCTGGTTTTAGTGCCGTTTTACGACCGATCTTAAGGTCCTCTTTCAAGTTAAAAAATATATACTTAATTTTTTGCTGTTCGGTGTCTTCGATTTGAGTTGCCGTGTGCCCAACTCACTGCCATGCCTGACACGTCTTTTCGATTTATACTGTACTTTTTAAAGAAATAATTTATAAATCTTTACCAAAATGTTTAAAATGCTCGCAGATGGAAAGAAACACAATATTTTCTTTGTTTAACTGAATGTTTTAAGCAGTGCCATAGACCATGCAAGTATATAAATAAGATATGTTTATGATAGCACTCACATTATTCTTACTCTTAACTTATTTACCTATATATGGATCTTTGAATGTGATATTTTTAGATAGGCTTGGGTTAAAAACTGTTTTATTTTTGTCTTATTTGTTACTCCATTTTGGTGCCAAGTATCCACACAGAATGACGTGTGTTTTATGCTGGTAAATGGTATTGACTTTTAGACTCTAAAACACATTGGGAATAAGGCTTTTATTTGTATAATTGTAGCCTACAGATAAGAGCATTACAGGGTTAAGCTGTACCGTACACTACATACTGATTTCTATGGTTGATTTTGCTGTCTCGACATCACCGTGCCTGCATTTTTACGTTGTCTTGTGTGATTTTTGGTTCACGGTTTTGTTGCTGCTGGTCATTTTGAGTGTACATTGTAGGATCTTGAAGCTGCAGTTGTTTCATTCACTCCATGTTTAAATAAAATCAGCTGATAGAGATTTCCTTCTGCTATAGCCCCATCTCTGGACTGGCCTCTTCATAGGTGATGCAGTTCTCAAGCAATAAAAACATTAGAGCTAAAACATCTGCTTGTCTTTTTTTATGCACCATACACACTATTTCAATTACTTTCTATGCATTTGTGAGTTTTTCAGAGTTCTGAGTTTTGATTCTGATCTAAAATTTGGTTTATTACATAACCAGTGTGCCACAAAAGCTATTTTAATTTTACTGAGTAGCAATTCGGAAAGGGAAATGCAGAGTTTTTGTAGTTTAGCCGCAACTTTTTTCAAGAATTTCTTAAACGTCGTACAGTATTCTGCCCGATCCAACTCTGACTTCCTTGTTTTATTTGATAAGTTATCTATTTAGGTCATGTTTCTATTCAGTAAATTAAGAAATGCATGTTTAATTAATAGGGTTTGGCGTTATAAGTACTTTTTGCAACATTACAAAACAAAACAAAACATAGACACATGACCGAAAGGGTTTAGACAGAAGTAAAATGACCAAATAAACTACTACTAATGAAAACAAAAAACAAAAAACTGGCATAGCTCGCTCAGATGGCCATTGTACACAATTTTTAGATTACATTTTGTCACAAATCAAAAAACCTTCATCAGAACATTTTTTTCTTGCTGTGGATCACAGTACACTGGAAAAAAAACAATATCTGTGCAAGATAAAATGACTTAAATTAAGAATATTTTACTTTATTTGAGTATCCAACTATGACTTCTTGTTTTATTTGATAAGTTATCTATCCAGTAAATAAAAAAATGCAGCTTTAATTAATAGGATTTGGCATTAGAAATACTTTTTACTTCCACCTAAACCCTTTTGGTCATGATCTATGAGACTGTAGTTTCTGTTTTGGTTTGTAATGCTGCGAAATGACCGAATAAACTACTATTAATAAAAAAAATGGCCTATGTACACAATTTTTAGATTACATTTCGTCATAATTTTGCCCAAAAGCCATCATCAGAACATTTTTTCTTGCTTTAGACCACAGTACACTGGAAAAAAACAATATCTGTGTAAGCTAAAATGACTTAAATTAAGAACATTTAACTTTATTTGAGTATCCAACTATGACTTCTTGTTTTATTTGATAAGTTATCTATTTAGGTCATGTTTCTATTCAGTAAATTAAAAAATGCAGGTTTAATTAATAGGGTTTGGCATTAGAAATACTTTTTACTTCTGCCTAAACGCTTTTGGTCGTGCGTCTATGTTTTGTTTTGTTTTGTAGTGCTGCAAAATGACCAAATAAACTACTACTAATAAAAAAATTGCATAGCACGCTCAGTTGGCCGATGTACACAATATTTAGATTACATTTTGTCACAATTTTGCCAAAAAGCCATGATCAGAACATTTCTTCTTGCTTTGGACCACAGTACACTGGGGGAAAAAAAACTAAAGTTAAACTGACTTAAATAAAGAACATTTTACTTTGAGTCGATTCAACTTGACAAGTAAAATGATCTAGCAATGGAGTAAGTGTATTTTTCTTAATTCAAGCAACATTCGATTTTGTTTCTTATTTTAAGTGAAAAAAGTTGTTGTTTTTTAAGTGTATTTTAAGTGTAGCAAGATGGATTTTCATATTTTAAGTAAAAAAAATCTTGTTCCACTGGCAGATCATTTTACTTGTCAAGTGAAATTTACTCAACTTTCTTAATTCAGGTCATCTTAACTTGGCTAGATTTAGTTTTTTACAGTGTACACATTGGTGTATTTGATTCTGTTTTAAAAAATGACCAAATCTGACTCTAACTATCGTCATTCTGGTATAAAATTCGAGATCAGCTGTTGATTCAACCTGTTACAGAGCTGCAGTGTCATGATTACACGTAGGAGGCGCTGTCCTTCATTAACAGACCGCATTTATAAAACTCTTTAAAAAATCAAACCTCATTTCCTCCATTGAACCAAGAACCAAGAGGCCACAGACAGAACACTATGACCAGCAGCAGGCCAATACAAACAACAGCTTCATAATGGATCTCTGTGTCCATTTTCAGTAAGTAGTTCTGTTAAAACACACTTCTGAAACTCACAAATTAATAAATACTTCATAAGTTCTTAAAATTCTGTGTATGAGTACCATATATTTTAACCTAGATTTATGAAATGCATTTTCATTTGACGTTTTGAACTGCAGCTGCAAATGAGCCAGCTCTTTTTCTTCCATTAATATAATAAATTGCTCTATAAGAGATTAGCAAATGACGCCAATGTATGAGGAATATGCAAGTAATTTCAAATCCCGCATTATTTTGTGATTTAGTCAAGCTCACAAAATCTGTAAAATAAACTTCAAACAATTTAAATAGCTGTAAGATAAAGAATTAAATATTTAGTGTCAAAAATCCAAAGTGTTGTATCCTGAAAGACATTGGATCTTATCAGAAAATAAAAAAAAACGTTGTAACTTGCATCAATAATTTCAATACTGCACTCTGTTTTCATAAAGCATTTCAAAATATTTGAGCTTTTAAAAATTAAATTACAGCCGTATATTTGAAATCACAACATAGTCAAACATAAAAATGCTTGTTAAATAATTTATTCATAATACAAAGTGTTTTCTTTTTCTTCCTGTAACTTTCCGGAAGCAATAATACTCTCTTTAGTCCAACAGAAGCAGTGGTGCCGCTCGGAGAAGATGGGCTCAAACTAATGAAACCACAAAACGTCTGTCTGCTGCTGGTGAAAACAAGCCGTGGATTTCCTCTGAATATTTACACTATGTTTGCCTGTACATGAGTCTGCTGAACAAAGAAGAGCGGGGCGTGAGACGACAGGGGATAAGCGCATGTCCACTGCTTCACAACATATAACTTACAGTAAAAAATATATACAATCTCACATACAAGTTCATCTTTAGGCTACAGCACGAAGCATTCAGTCGTGTCCACTCAGCTCCTCTTTAGCCTGCCCCTCTCTGCTCGCGGCGCTGTAGGACAGTGGTACCCTGGTTAATCTGAGCTTTAAAAGCATCACAGGCCCTTTACACCTGCACACGAACACGCTTCTGCACCAGGACCAGCGTTGGAAAAATTAAAAGCGATCAGTGGCCTCAGAAAATGTGATTTCAAATAAATGTCATTTTAAACCTGATGTAAAAAGTCTTAGAAAATGACAAAATACAAAACAAAAACAAAAATATTAAATTAGTTATTTTTGTAGCCAATTAAAAATGTGTAATAGCGAGTTAATTTCAGAAAATAAAATGTTCATAATTGTAAGCCGTAAATGTATTTTTAAATGTTTACAGTGCTACTGAAATGGGCCCAATAAAAAAAAAATTAAATATTAAACTTTATACAAAATAAAAAAAATTAAATAAAAATACGTCAAAAACAACGTTGGCCGCAAACTGGCGTCTACATTGCACAGTGCTGTCGTAAAGTGGTTTAGCAAATTAGCATCGAATGGCCTACATATTAATTTGAAATTTAAAAACTCTTTACGACTGAGTTTTAGTTATTCCAACACTGGTCCGCTGTGTGTAGACATTTAAAGTTTAGTTTACATTTACAGGTTGTGTTAAAACTTATTTAAAGGCGTAAAAACTAAAGTTTGTGAAAGTTCGTCGCCATAGCAACGGTATTTGTCCTTTTTATGACACTCGGCTCCCGTAGAACAGAGCGCGCGTATCTCCGCTTTCTTCACAACTTTTCTTCTGTAAAATAATATTTTTTTACGCTTTTCTCGCTCCAAATAAGCGGCGTCTCTTCATGTCCGGAGCCTGTTCGGAGCAGGTGCAAAGGGCCGTGGGAGAGTGCGATAAAAGTCTCTTTAGAGCGGTGTCCATCACAAAGTGTCCGAGCTGTTACTGCACGGGCTCAGCAGCGCCAGGTTCGTGGCCTTGTGCTTTTTCAAAAGTCTCGTGATTTTCTCGTCGTCTGAGTTCGGGTCCAGAGGTTTGTTGTATTCGTCGTCCTCCTCGTTGTCCGAGCTTTCCTTCATCTTCTCCGTCTCTGAGTCGTGCTTCTTTTTGGCCGTGGCCATTTCCGCCGCGTGCCTCTTTCGCCATTTGGTCCTTCTGTTCTGGAACCAAACCTGAAAACCGAGCCACAAACACGTGAACATCAGCAACAGGTTCACACGGATCATCTCTAACAATCCAATAATTCATGCGTAATTTAAATAGTCACAGATTGCCCAAATCATTGACTCCATGGTCTCTAGCCTGGCCTCATTTGTGAGCTAAAATACCCACTAAGTCCAACTTCACCCTCACATTTACCTCGGAGAGTCGAAACGTAAAAGGCTAACAATAGGCTAATAAATGTCTATAGTGGTAATAAATGTATTGTAAATACCTTGACTTGGCTCTCGGTCATGCCCAGGCTGTAGGCCAGCCGGGCTCGCTCGGGTCCTGCCAGGTACTTGGTCTGTTCGAAGGTTTTCTCCAGAGCGAAGATCTGCTGGCCCGAGAACGTGGGTCTGGAGTGTTTCTTCTTCCCGTCCTTATCCAACATGAGGTTCGCCTGAGCTGTGGAGCAGAGCCTGTGTTTTAAAACTGAACACTGCACAAACCTCCTTCATCTGAGATCATTTTATGTGTGGAAAAAACGCAGAGCCGATGACTTGTGCAAGTTCAGTGTTCAGCTGCGCACAGACACTTGTGTTTACGCACACTCGGACTGCGTATTTTTTCACCTCTTACTTTTCTCTTATCATGTAAAATCTAGATAATTTTAAGATATTTAATTATACAAAAGTAGCAAATTAAAAGGCTATATTTTCGCCGAATTGGGGGAAAATAATTAGTGAATATTTATTGAATTGTGAAATTATTAAAATGATGTTCTGAATGTGCCTTGTTACCGTGTGTTAAAATTGGCTAATTGATATTATAAACCCTAACCACATTATTTAATATTTAAAATTTTAATCAGTGTTAATATTTGCTCGGTCAGTCTGACTGGCTCCAGTTAAAATAAAATAACTTTATAAATCCTGTGTAACTCGTCTACACCTGAGCCTGTTTGTCAGTGAAATAATAAGAGTATAATAATAGTAGTGCAGTACTTACTGGGACAGGGGGACTCTTGGATCTCTCCAGGGTGATCCCTGCATCACTCCGGGCCAGAAGATGGGAGCCCTGCCCGGGAGCTCCGCCAGCGGTTTGGGATACCGAGACACGGCGGGGCTGAAGTACATCCCGGCGGCTGCAGCGGCAGCGGTGGTGGCCAGGCCGTTTATCCGGGGAAAGCCCGAGAGCAGCTGGCCCGCGGTGGTGATGGGTCGGCCCAGGATGTCACTGATGCCGTGCGGGGTGCCTCCGGCGATCTGGGAGCTGATGTTGGAGAGCGGGGGCGCCTTGAAGCCCGCCGGGCTCTGCTGCAGCGTGTACGGGAACAGAGACGTCTTCATCTCGGTCATGTTGTGCAACGCCGCCAGCGGGGTGCTGCCCAAGACGAACGCACTCTGCCGGTTAGCGTCCATCTGCCCCACCGCTAACATTTGTGATCATGAACCGGACGAGCTCCGTGGGAGAAGAAACGACCAGGAAAATAAAGTAAAGTGTAATAAATGTGGACAGGCCGATGGTGTCGCCCGCTCCAAAGTATCCTGAAACACGGAGAAAGTTTCAGATGACTTGTCTCTGGGGAAGCGCGGCGCTGTTCCGTCCTGAGTCCCGCTGCGGTTTGTTTTGGTCGAGTGTCAGCTGGGAGAGCGCCCGGAGTATGCCACAGGAATCCTCCGCTCTCTGATGATGTTTTTAGTGGTTTTGATGGGAACCATTAAAGGGCCGCTCGCCTTTCGATAAATTGACTCGGTCTATGGCTGGAGTGAAGCGGGACCCGCTGATAACAGCACAGCCACCTGCGTGCGCGCTATTCCCATTGGATAAGGCTGAGCGAGGGCGGCCGCTCATTGGAGGAGACAGAGCCTTCACTTCTTCACACTTCAGACTGTGGAAATACATGGTGAGTTGACTGGTTGTCGGAAATACTAGCTTCAACTTTAGCCCCTTGTGAGAAATGTTCTGATTGTGGAGACATTCTGCACCAGCGCACTCACAAACACATTTAGGACATATAATCTTTATAGTTCTGCATGTTTTAGGCAAAGATGGCTTTAATTTGAGATGTTTAACCATATTAAACGTGGGAATGGCTTCATAACGCAAAACAAAAAATAAATTAATAAAAATAAAACCAAACTAACCTTCGTCTGAACTCAAATAAAATTATAAAATGTATCTGCCAGTTTCAGCTTCACACAAAACAAACAAATAACCAATGGTGATTCATCAATGTCTGCCTAATCATCTTGTCCAGTGTCAACATTGAGTGTCCGAGGGGCCGTGAACGCCTCAGCTGCTTCTCACTCTATTAAGATCCACGGCGCTGCTGTTAATGATGCGTCTCACACCGTGGAAATCATTGTTTCGGAGCTTCACAAAGAATATGCGTTTACATTATGAGCTGCAGCTGCCCGGGACAAGAGTGCATTAAAATGGAAACGAATTCTATAGTGTTTTTGAAAAGAGAAAGCCATTTTAGTCAGAATTAAGTGGAAATTAATAACTAAACCAAACCAGGCCTTTACGCGTGTAGCCAAATATTTACTCCACGAGACAACTTCAGAATAAACTAGCATTTCTTATAGACTAAATAATATTTTAGTGTCTTATAAAAGCACGTATTCTCATTATGTTTAGTAGCACGCTAATAAATAGGCCTAGATTAAATAAGCTGGAGGCCTTTGGAGATGACAGCTATTAAAAACCTCGCGTGCGTAACGGGGCTGTGTTTAGTTTTACGCGGGCGTGATAATGTGTGTTTTTTGAGACAAACTGCGGCGTTATTAGGCTGAAAGTGTGCGGCAGACGAGCGCTCAGCCCGGGCCCAGTCATCACCGTGAGTGCAGTAATATTTTATGGAGATGTGGGGACGGTTGTAAGAGTGAAATATGGCCCGGCGCGTTAGCATTTGAACGGCTTCAGTAAATGCACCTAGTCGTGGCCATTTGCGGCGCGCGGGAGGAGCGTGGGGTGTACAAAGGCGAGATGATGATTCACTATTTTGACTGTATTTCTTACGCACGGGCAGCGCATGGTTTAATTCCGCAAATGCTCTTCACTTTCAATTTATAACCGCATCTGTGGATAATATTGCGGAAAGAGTTGACGGAGGTGTTGTGGAAATAATCAGATGCGTTTTCAACAAAGTGGACCAAATTTCAGCTTAAATGCAACGTGATCTGATCTAAGTAAATCAGTAAATAATAATAATAATTCACAGTAACGTAGCAACTTGCTCTGTAGGGCCATAAAACAGAGATATATTTTATTTTGGAATTATCCTGTAAGTTTGAATTGAAGCAAATGTGGATAGGCCAATTTTATACTGCAACAAGTACATGGTATAAATAAAACAGTACACTTTACTTTTAATAAGCATAATATATAATAATATTCTTTCAAAAATGCTCAAATAGTTTTAGCAATGCATTATTAATTCACTCCATGATCTTGTAATTCTGGTTCTGATGATTTACTTTTGTTGCCACAGCTGCCCTGGGGTAGACTGACAGAAGCGAGGCTGCCAATCCTCCAGTCACACACTCACAAGAAAATGCTTTGCCCAAGGACACAACGACAAGTTACGCTTATTTAATATTTTTGGGATGTTTTGACAACGTTCCACTATTACTGTTGCACTTTAAAATGTAAATATGATGTGAATTTTATTGTTTTACGTTCTAAATTATACACTGAAGCTTATTTTTACTCTAACCACGACTTTTATTTTTCTAGAGATGTTTGTGGAAGCATGAATAGAAGCGTTTAGTTCATTTAAAACAAAGGTAAGTTGACAAAAATGTAAAAATGAATCATGATTTTTGTTGTTTGGTGCATACTCTACTACAGGATGTACGCCATCTAAAGGTAAATCCAGGCAAAATCGCATCTTGACACACTTGAAAGGTGCATGAAGTGACCATAAGACGGGGGATAGTTAAAGTCTTACATTTTCCTTGGAAAGCCTAGGGCACCCTTTTTAATTTACAGAAATGTGTCCATCCCATTGCAGTGAGTGTTGAGTGAGATAGAGGCATATTGCACCAGGCCCGCCGCCAAAAGTGTCCTCACTGTTAATAACCTAATAACAGTGTCACATAATGAACGGGCTAAATTTTTATCTCTTAAATTCTTGGGTAATTTAAAGTTTAAACCCTTAAACTCAGATTTGTTAAAGAAATAGACGTGGCGCTCATTAAATGAAAGGGAGGTGTCGTTTTTCATTTGTTTTTATTGGAGAAAGTATTAAACTAATGCGATTTAATGTGTTTTTAGGACTGAGATATGAGATGTGAGTGGGCGGAGGTTATGCCTGCAGAATTAATTCAGAATTGATACAGAGAATAAAGCCAGGCCTGATTAAATTAATACAGAGGGATTGAAAAGGGAACTTTCTTAGCAAATGGCTGATGTGATAATAATTTTGTGGTCACTTTGGGCAAATTGCTTGGGAAAAACAAACGGGAACAACATTACGCTTATGAATTGCAAATGAAGCTGCCGGGAAAGTGAAACTAAAAGGGAAAAGTTTGCCATTTAAACAGAAATATAGTTTGACCAAATGAAATGCAGTTCACTGTATGTCAAGTAAAGCTGTAGTTTTATGTTCGGAATTTGCTTCTACAACTTTAACCTGTTGATCATCTGAATAACAAAAAATATATAAACAGAAATATTAGTGAAGCAATCTATGAAATAGCCTTGGATTTATCTACAGAGGACAATTAATATGTTAGAATATATTAAAAATAAGGTAAATAAGGCCTGATTCATAATATTTTACACAGTACACACCCTTTTTATATTATTTAAATCTGATATTTTAGATAATAAACCATGCTACAGTTTTGATTTGGCCTCGGATCTTCGTCGATAACGCTGTATACACATCCTTTCAGATTGAGTTATTCAGCCTGGGCCCGGCCGTGGTTAATAATGCCGTTTTGGAGGAGATAGTGGTTAATAAAGAGCGTAGATAATCTTATCTGAGTGTGACCTGAGCAGCAGTGACAGCAGAGTCACAGATGTGGAGACAAAAAGAGGCCTGTAGGAGCCCATCTGTTCAGTCTATTAGGCGCTGGATTCATTAAACATACAGTCAACAGTTAACAACATCAAGACTATCAAAGACATCATACATAACATTGTTTATTTAGGCGTGTCATGTACAGTACAATTCAAATAACTCTTCATGTTGATAACCTGTTAAACCGTAAAGTCTTTATTATGTAAGCAAGAGCCACTGGGTTGAAGATGACTTAGTCAGGAGCGCCCTCTGCTGCACAAAGAGGGTTTTGCCATTGTCTGTTAATTTCTAAAAATGGGTAGTGCTGCTGTAACCTGTAGTTAGAGTTTGTTTTTATGTACCCAAATGTTTTTAAGTATCCCAGATGTTCACTTTTCATTTAATTAATTAGTTTTGAATGAAATATCACTACCAGTATGTCAAATCACATTCACTACTGGTAAAAAATTTTAGAATGCCCTAATTTTTCCAGTTATGTATTGCAGCTCAAGTCGTGCAAGTCCAATGAAGAGCTGGAAATGGTACAAAGGTAAGAAATGAACAAAGAAAAAGATAAAAGATAACAAAACCCAAGTCCAAGCTCTGCCAAAACTACCTCAGGAAAAAAAAAAAAAGATGGTAAAGCTTGAAAACATGGAGTGTCCAGCACAGTCTCCAGACTTTTTAAACCCCATCGAGCTGGTTTTGGGATGAACTGGACAGAAGAGTGAAAGCCAAACAATCTACAAGTGCCACACATTTATGGAAACTTCTGCCACAGACTTGGGAAGAACTTTCTGAAGAATATTTGATTTCTGTTGTTAAAAGAACGAGCCACAAGTGTGTTCAACTGTTGTATTTGCCAAAGGTGGACACTTTCATGAATCAAAAGTTTACAATACATTTTGGTCAAGAGTAAACAATAAAAAACTGGAAAAAATTTCATGTTCTAAAGCTTTTGACTGCTGGTTTAATTTGTTGATAAATACTTCTTGGTTAAACTATGAAATTGGCCAAATCCTAGATATAAGAAACAATAACAAACATTTGATTCTGTATTTAATTCTTTTTCTCCAGATGAATATTGTGATAAACCGTTGTACCACTAGATGGAGCAGTGTGTCAAGATGAAACGTCCAGTCCTTCTGAAAGCAGGTACACTTTTTTTCCATTTACATCAGGTTTATGTTTTGAATAGTTAAGCACGTACAGGAAATATTGTGCTGTTATTATTTTTTTTTAGAAAGTTCACGGTGTCACATAATATCTCTTTTATGTTGCTCCCCAAACGTCTTTCCAGCTCACCCTCAGTAATTTGCCATGTAATCTCACCCAAAGGTCCCAAAAGAACATCCAAACGATTTGAACCCGTTTAATAGAAAACAAAAGCGTGCTACTAAACCAGTCTAGCACCGCCGTTATGTGAGC